AACCCATCCCTTCTCTATCATAGCTAATGTGGCTTCTTAGCCTGGAATTATTATCAGTGAGCTCAGTAGTGGCTAACTGCATTTTTTGTTGTACCAGTTCTTATTTTGTGGAACACTAGAAAGGAAAATAATTTAGTAATACCACAAGGTTTTCTTGGTTTGATGGTGAGGTAAATGAGAAGCCATGGTTGAAAGAAGGTCTGCCACGTCTAGAACCCAAGCCAAAACATGACATGTTCACAGATACAGAACCTCAGCAAAACCAAAGCCCTTGTCCTTTCCCCACTGTAGCTTGCACAGATGTGGACACCAGTGCAAAGCTCTGCTCAGCACCACTGAGCAAAAACAACAAAAACCAGATTATAATCTAAGTTACTCATGCTGAAAGTCAGTAAGTTAGAAACCTAGTTTTCCAAAGTAAACCTTGTTTTTTCAGATGAGGACTCAGATGAGTTCCTAACATCTCAGATTAGGATTCTAGGACATGTAGCTCTGGATGAAATTGTTCATCAGGCCTTTATTTCTCTTAGAAGAGGAGAAAGGTGTTCTTCTACATGCACTGAAGTCCACAGCTGTCCAGGGACTAAACTGTGCCTCTTGGACATCTTCACTTCCCTACCTCAAGGCAACCTTACTTTACTTTCTAAATATCTGGGCTAAGATCTTACAACAAAAAGGAGATTATATTTGCTCATGTCTGTGAGTGGCCAAATGCACAGGGTAGCAGAGGAACTTACAAAATAGTTGTATTGCTCCTGTGGTAATAAGATTCAAAGTACTGTCAAAAGCATTGATTAGTTTACCTTTCAAACTTGGATACCACTTCAGAATACGTCAGGAAGAAATTATGGGGCAATTCTAGCACTGTTAAACTAAATACACCCTGATCATCTCTATCTGCATCTTCTGATACAGGGATATAGGCATAAGATATTCATACTCTGGTATCACATCCTTTGGGGACCTTTGACACTTCCCTGACAAAAATGAATTGGCCATGATAAACTGAAACCAAAAACACTAAGAAAACAAACATATGATACAAGTCATTCTTCAGAGATTCCCAGAAAGCTGCTATAATATTCATCATAAATTATTTTACAGACTCATGAGATTTAGAAGCAGCAATGATGGCCACACTGCACCACATCTCCTGCACCATCAAGTGGCTAGAATTGAACACCACAGGTGTGTGGAGATGCTAAAGCGGGGAAGGAGACAACTACACCTTTATCTGTCCTTCTTCTACCAATGCTGGACAGAAAAGCAAATGTGGCACTCCCTCAGCATTCATAAAAGGAAGAAGAAAGCTCTTAGTAATTACAATGCTTAACATTTAGCTTCTAACCCTGGGGAAAAAAAATAAAACAATAGAAAAGCTCTTAAGAAATAGTCACTTCATTTGCAGAAAATAGTGCAATGATGAGCAATAAGATGCAGGATTTATAAAGAATAGATTTTGCCTGACAAAACTAACACTTTTTTATGGAATTACTGAATTGATGGTAATGGATTAATGGAACAGAATAAATATAATACTCTTGGATTTAAGCCATATTTTTTGAACAATTGGTCTGATCATCCTCTCCCTCAAAGGCAGGCAGCTACACTGGCACAAAACTGGAGAGCATGAAAATGGAAGGCTGCCTCCTAAGTTTCACAAAAAGTACTTAAAAAGCTCCTCTGAACCTGCTTGTGCCAAAATAATATCTCATTTGGTCTGAAGTCTAAATGAAGGACCAAAACGAGGCTAATAGACAAAGAGAAGAATACCAGTTTATAGAGTGGACAGATATATACTTAAGGATCAGTTTTGGGTCTTGCCTTTTTAATACTTTCAGTAATCACAGAATCACAGAATATTCTGCGCTGGAATGAGCTAGAAAGAGGACTAAACAACGTATTAATGAAATTCACTGGTGATACTAAACTGAGAAGAAAAACAGGGATGCCAGAGACAAAGGACAGAGGGATTAGAGTAATTAGTAACACAGGCCAAAAATAATAAGAATCACTTTGGAAAAATGCCATAAAGCACAAGAGAAAGGAAAATTAGCTTGGAAGATGATTTCTTTTAGAGGAAGTTTCATTGATAGCAGAAACTTCATAAGGACTATGAGGATAAAACCCAGCAAGTTACTTTCAAGCTTCTAAGGAATATGGTAGCAGAAAAGGCTGATGTATTTTGGGTGTGTGTATATAAAGATGCAGCAATACAGAGAAGCAAGAATCGTTCTCTGCAAGACTGAGGTGAAACGTGTGAAAATGCTGCTCCATTTCTAGTGAGAGTTTCACAGACCACAGGGAAGTTTAAAGAACCACAGCACAAATAAGAGCACTGGAAAGTCTGGTGCCCAAAGAGTGATTAAATTTGAAATGCATAGATGAGTGATGACCAAGGACATAATACTAACATTAAAAGGTGCAATCAGCGAGCAAGAAAAGAATGGAAATAGAGGCAGCAACAGGAACAAAAACTCAGCAAAAACGGCTTTGTGGGAGAGACCTAGAAGACTTTTATCTCTGGATCTGTTTCACAATAGGTGTAACAGATATAACCTACACAGCTTGTGCTTGGCCAGAGACCCATGTCAGACTCGGGGTGCTGAGTCTTCCTATTTCCCTCACTCTTTTGGTTGTACCTTGGGCTCAGTTCTTAGTGTCCTGGCTCTTCCTCTGATTGCCCTGGCCTTGTTCCCAATCAGCTCTCTTGGCTTTGAGCCAGATGTGCATATTCTTTGTTTGAGATACTATCCTAGATTGTGGAGATCAAACCTCACTCCCATCAGGACCTATTTCCACAGGTCCTTTTTCCCTCCCAGCAACAAGTACTTACAGCAGTTTCTGCATTGGTATTATTTCAAGCTCTCAAGAGATTTTTCTGGATATTTCTCATATAGACCTAATTGAGATTCACTTCCAACCTATTTCCAGCACAAAAGAAGATGCAGAATTTGCAGGTAAAATTGTGTTCTTAATGAAATAAGGAATGGGAGTCTGGTGAAAAGAAATAGATGAAACCTTGTAATGATAAAATCTCTCAGAGAATGTGCTGGGGTAAAAGGGAAAATATACATAAAGAGGAAGCCTATGGAGTGTTTGGTACAAGTCAGTAAACATAAGGGCTGGCTCACTAGAAAGATGACCAAAGCATCTAGATGGAGGCAAGGTCAAAGTAGACATAGAGAATTTTCTAAAGGTAGGGCATTGGTAGGGCATGTTAAGAAAGATGAAGAAAATGCTTTTTATTCATCCTAAAATGCCCAAACATTATCTTATCTTACTACCTCTCAAAACACAGCCTTTATGGTCACAGTACACATGAAGGGTCAGTGATTTCTGCCACAAAAAACCCAAGAAGCTTCCCTCAAACGTTTTCTTGCTGGAAATAGCTCCCTACATTCACAATCCTCCTTTTATAGAATGAATTTTAATAGGTATCTTTTTTACTTTTGTTCCTCCCAAGTGCTTCAGTTTTATTGTGGCTTTGCCTTTGTTTTCATTTTCATGTTCTTTCCATTCTACTGCATTATGAATTCTCATTTTACTTGCTGAAAATTAGAGCTACTGTACATATATTTAGAATACATGGGGGTGTATGTGGATAAAGATATTAATAGATACATAAGCATCACATAGCTCTCATTACTGTTTCAATATTATCAATTTTATTCACCATATGTCATGCCATATAGTTCTCACCTTTACTAACTTTAGATGGCTGTTTGTACATGGTCCATTAAAAACTGATGTACAAATGTCCAGTATTTCAGTATTCAGAATACTTTTTGATTATGCTTCTTGGCTCAAATGTGATATAAAGAAGCTGATAATAAAAGAATCTCAAACTAGTGTGACTGCAGGTTGCCTTGAAGAGGGAAATTTATAATGACTAAAACAGCATCAGACTAAAGCTGTTCTATCACATTTAAACAATGGGCAAAGACATTAACACGAGCAATCAGAAAAAAGGTTACATCCTGCTCATCAGAGAGAATTCGTGTTAATTTTCATTCCACAACATTTGTCCTTATTTTTACATCTTAAGGCCAAGAAAAAACCAGTCTGTTGTCATACAGTACTTTGAATACTTCATTCTGCATGAAGCTAGCATATCATAAAGCTAGCATATCTTGTATTTTAAAGCTTCGTTTTACATGAAGACACTGAACAGAACACAACATACTGCCATAAAAAGCAGGAGCTGATGTTTCAAGAATTCAGCTCTGCAGGTAACAAAAAGTAAGATAAAAAGCAAGAATAAATTCCTTTTTTTGAATTTCACAATGATCGAAGTGTCACAGCCAGATACTGCATTCTGTTTTGATCTCTATGCACTGCACTTTCAACTCTATTTTTTATGGTATTATAACCATTCAGCCATTAATATTTCTCATCCCTTTCTAAACCTCACACCAGATAAAATCAGGCCCTGGGGAACATCTCCTGAAAAGGGGATATTTGGCAGCATAGAGCAAAGAGGTTTCCCGTACCACCACGCACGGTCATAAAAGGAGGGAGGAACCAGCAGTTTTTAACCCTTATCCTCCAGCACCAGCATACACGTACCTTGCTCTGCAGGATGCAGTCACAGTATCACCCCCATTAGGATCCAGGCTGCATATCTCTGATTGTCATGGAGACTGTTTCAAAATCTTGCTGTGCTTCAGCAGCAAAGCAGACAATAGTACTTGGTCTTAAATGGCTGAAAAGAAAGCAACAAAGCACAGTGTAAAAGGGAAGGAGCTGTGACTGAAAGGGATATAAGTACAGCAAGACACACTTCAAACTATTGCAGAGAGCTAGAGGTGTAAGTTAGAGCAACCTTCCAGAGGTGTATAATTGTGTCTTCAAGATAAACACAAGAAGAGCATTTTCAAGAATAGTACATTTCTCCTCCTTTCTCCCCCTCAAGCTAAAATACTGGGGTGTTTTAGATTAAATGTGTTAATTAGGAAACTATTTAGTTTACGATGTCTTCTGCTTTTTCATTCCTGTAGGCACTGTAAACATACCGAGTACTGGAGCAAGTGATATACAGTGACTTGGAAAAAGAGACAGGCAGAGACACAGATAAATGTAAGGCATTAATAGAGCTGATTGTTTGCAAGACGTGAGACAAATAAGTGATTTTCCGAAGAGTGAGGAGATAGTTTTGTGTCAAATAGCAAATTTGCTAAGATTGCAACTTATGGCCATAAAATGCAAGCAAAATAAAATGCAAAATACAAACTTAAAACCAACTCGTTTTAATCACATCTCAGAAAAAGGAGTCATCAGACCAAACTTTCACTGTAAGTTTGTTCAATAAAATAGTTAGGAGTATAAACTTCTGAAAAATTGTTTGATGACCTGCTTGTCATGATCTATGTTCATATTACCACAAAAATCACAGCACCTCTCCAAGGACTGAGCAAAAGCAGTATGAATGATTCCAAAATTCTGATCTGAATCAGTACTTTGAAAATGTGAAGAACATCATCACTCTCAAAAGGGAAGTAAAAGATTACACTGAAATTGGAGAAATATAAGAGCAAAAAAAGCTTCCACAAGCTTCTTCCACAGCATTTAGGGCAAATGATGTAAGAAGTAGATTGTGTGAAACAGACCAGTACATTGGAAAATCATGCTCAGAGTAAAAATGAAAAATTTCCCTTTGATAAATGAAGAGGGTTAGTTTGCTGAGCACATATGCCATCTCATGGAAACAGGTAAAGCAGGTCTCAAATCTCTTGGGAATATCCTAGGCAAAATTCTGCACCATGAAAACTTCACTGCTTGATCTTACAAAGGTACAATTCTTTGAGGGGAGAAAAGTTCTGTAACAGATTATTTGTCAAGGAAGACTTGGAGGAACAGAAGCATGAGATAAAACAACAATTGCTAATGTCTGCCTAAAGAAAAAACTAGCAAAAATTATGAGAGTGTGACAATAGAGTGAAGTTTCTATTAAAAATGTTAAGATCAAGGCAGCCTGCACAAAGCCAATAGCTTCCAGTTGCTCTCTGTGACCTCAAAAAGCAGTTGATTGTGGGCAAAGCATAAGGAAAAAAAAAAATGGAGAAAATCAGTCTTGGTGTTATTTAGGAGTCTAGGAGCCACGTGGATTTAGAAGCCATATGGGATATCTGTGTGAGCCTCTCAGTTTGGGATGTTGTAAGAGTCTGCAGAGAAATCACTGTGCTCCCAATGACCAGAACCAGTAGGACACTGCCCACACCTGCATGAGCACTGGGTGATGACACTATACTGTGCCTGTGCTTACGTGGAATACTGAACTCAGCTGAGAAGAAAATTCCTCCTAATGAACAGACAGCTCGTGATTAAGGTCCGCTGCCTTGAGCAGGAGTGCTCCAGTTGGCACCCTCACACTTCTGCTGGTTGCAGGACAACTGTGTTTTATTTACAGACAGATAAGGAGAGAGAAAAAGTAGGTAAGAAGCAGTTCTGGGATACTGAATTTTTCACTCTCATTTTCCTTTCTCTGTACTGGGCCAAGCAGCTGAAAGTAGGTTGTCATGTTTGAAAATTCAAAAACTTACTTATTTACCACTCTGCTATGCAGGTTTCCATTCCTGGGAGCACTCGCAGCCTGAGAAGACACAGCAGATCACAGAGTATGGTGGAGCAGAAGGAAACACTGTGTGAGAGGGTCAGATTTTCCATGTGAGATATTTCATTTAATTCTCAGACAGATTTCACTTTGTGGGTCTGTTTCCAAGAGATCATTTTCTACATATAACAGATTACAGATTCCCCTAGTTTCTCTCATGTGCATGAGATGCCCTGTAGAACAGATATCAGTTACATAGCAAATTGACTATACTGTGTACAGCTTTTTTTTAATCCAGTCAATTACCTGGCCTCATGTAGAGAAAATTAGCAGTAGTATTAGATAGTTTCCTCTGTTTCTTATGGACAGAACTACACATGTTTTACATCTGAGGGGTGGATGATGCCCAGGAATGCTGTGAAGCTTTTGATGCCTGCATACTTACCTGTCTGTTCCTAAGCTTCTTGACCCAAGCACAGAGCTACAGCCAATTTGTTCACAAACATCACTGCAGTTTGTCAGGCAGACAATACATCTCCCATACGGGGGCAGGGAAAGGGCTGGTTGCAGCTTTCATTAACATGTCATAAAACCTCTTTCAAGATAAAAAATACTAATTTTATTCTCTCTATTCATAAAGCATAACTGCTCAGTCAGAAGGTGATTGTGTTAATAAACATTTTTGGCACATTTAATGTTATGGTGATAAAGTTCTTATTCCTGGGAAAAGCACACAAGGCTCAACAAATCACCTCCTCCTGCAAACCTGTAATAGTACCTCTTAGGACAAATACTCCTAGGTCAAGTCCAATATATACATGACTTGGGTAAAATCAGTACTGACCTTCTGTCTACATATGGGCTTCTGTCTACATCTGCATATGTCCCATGGTGCAATTAGGATATCAGAAGCATCATTACCAGCATTTAATTCCAAAGTCATTGTGTGAAATGAATGCCAAGAAGGACTTGGGAGTGCTAGTGGGTGAGACGCTGGGCATGAGCCAACAATGTGTGCTTGCAGCCCAGAAAGCCAATTGTATGCTGGGCTGCATCAAAAGCAATGTGGTCAGCAGGTCGAGGGAGGGGATTCTCTACTCTGCTCTGGTGAGACCCCACCTGGAGACCTGTGTCCAGCTCTGGGGTCCTCAGCACAGGAGAGACGTGGACCTGTCTTATAGAGTGAGTCCAGAGGAGGCCACCAAGATGATTAGAGGGATGGAGCACCTCTCCTATGAGGAAAGGGTAAAAGAATTGGGATTGTTCAGCCTGGGAAAGAGAAGACTTTGGAGTCATCCAATTGTCACCTACCAGTACCTGAAGGAAGCCTACAAAAAAACGGAGAGAGACTTTTTAGCAGGGCATGTAGTGACAGGACAAGAGGGAATGGCTCTAAACTGAAAGAGTAGGTTTAGATCAGGGGTTAGGAAGAAATTCTTTACTGGGAGGATGAAGAGGCAGTTTTCCAAGAGAAGCTGTGGATGTCCCATTTCTAGAAGTGTTCAAGGCCAGGTTGAATGGGGCTCTGAGCAAGGTGGTCTAATAAAAGGTGTCCCTGCCCATGGCAGGGGTGTTGGAACTAGGTGATCTTTAAGGTCCCTTCCAATGCAAACCATGCTACGATTCTATGAAATAAAAACTCTGAAGGACAACACAAGAAGCCTGCTAGAGCCCAAGCAAATCTGCGTGGAGCAGATGTCAGCAGAAAGATACTGAAAAAGACAATATAACCTGATCAAAATGAGATTTGCAGATGAGCAATGTGATAATGTGATTAGATGCACAAAATACTGAGGATTTTATGGGTTTTGCCTTGAATTTTTCTGAGAAAATAAGTCATCAAGAAAATCGATTTTCTTATGCATTAAAACCCCTAATTTTCCGACCACTACAAAGCTCAAGCCCCACTTTGCTCTGAGACTTCCTCAGACAAGGATAATATATGTCCCTCTTTCAGTCAAATTTCTAAGAAAAAAGTCTTAGCTTTATCCCAGAAGTGAGTGGTTTTGAGGAAGTTCTCTCCAGGTCTTTAGACAGCCTGAGCCAGGTGAGGGCTCCGTAGTCCTGGAGCACTGGTGTGCTTATGGTGGGAAGAACACACATTCCAGGAGAGAGAAATGACTGAATCAAGTGACAGGGATGCAGGAGGAGATGTATTAATCATTAGTCTAGGGAGATACATGAACCATTGTTCCCAGAAATAGAAGAGCTTTTAGAAGCTTTTCTGCACTGGAGGCAACAATAATTACATTCCTACCTCCAGCATGGTTTGGAAAGGGACTGATTCTCCACTGTACTGCCTTGGAGTGATACGAGAACAAATGAACTTGAAGAAGCCTGGTTTCCTCTTCAGCATGCACCACACACACTGGCTGCTGAGGATTCATCATGGAAGGTCTACTGACTGACTCAGGAGGGACAAGGATCAGTGTTTTGTCTCCATAAAACATAGCAGATAAGTATCAGTGTCCATGTACAGCAGAATGGGAGGTGAGCAAGATGAAGGCTAGCATAGTCCCACTGTAGTCAACAAGGCTAGAGAAGGACAGCAAAACTTCCTCAAGTCTGGCCAAGCAGGAGACCACAGACTGCTACTGGGGATCCCTCCCACTAAAGCCAGGCTGTCTCTAGCACTTTGCCTTAACTGACCACTGCCATGGGAATTTGCACATCTCCTTCTTGGCTCCAGCAGCAGGTGGTTGCTTGGTTTGGATGAGCAGATCTGGCAGGAGCAGACTTTCTTCTCTGTATTCTGCACAGTAACTTCTTGAAAGCAAAACTAAAATACTGCTTTGCAAAGTATCTTTTTTAAGCCACAATACCTTTTCTTTTTTTAATCCTCAGCACCAGCACATTTCAGCTCTCTAACCCTGACAGTATTTAAAAAAAAAAAAACAGTGCTTATGTTATTTCACTATACACACTGACTCTTGCCTTGTTCTCCCAAGTACCTAGATTTATGATGAAACACAGCAGCTGTTAAAATGTTACACACTATTTATTAGCAGTACTGGAACCTTGTTTTCTACCATATTTCAAATCAACTGAGATCCAGGACGACAGACTCCTAAGTGGTTAATAGCCTAGCTGCAACACAAGGTAAAAAGTGTTATGATTACTTAGTAGACTTTTTTAAATTTGGTTTTGCAGTTCTGACCATCAGTGAAAATAACACGTATGCTCGATAGCCTCTGTAACCTGTTGGTTAAATAAACCAGAGGAGCTCTTTTCATTATATACTACTTTCAACTCTGGTCAGCTCTAGCTCAAAAAATCACACAGAAGTGAATTGAATGACAGAAAGACAACAAAAGGATTAGAATCAAGGAAAGGTTTTAGTACCTTTTAATTTCTCTTGAGGCAAGATTAATAGTATCAGTACCTTCTGGGGAGCGCGTCTGCTACAGGCAGTACATGGAAAGAGGCACTGCTGGTAGGCAGTAAATAAATCCACTTAGGACTTATTGCATAGGTCAAATAAAATTGTAAACACCAGGAAACTAAGGCAGACAGCATAGGTCTGCAGAAAAAAGTTTGAACACAGGGAAAAGGCATGTATCTCAAAGCAAAAAAGGTGGTCACAAGGTGTGAGCAGAGCACAGACACAGAGACTGCAGCCTCCCTGGATTCTCCTGTATGATCAGGCAAGGGGCCATGTCATGTCCCAGAGCTAGAGCACTACTGAGAGCCATGAGATCCTTCTCCCCACCATGCAGCTGGAGGAGATCCCTATCGCACCTCCCAGCAGACACAGCAAGCTGAGCCATAGTTTGGGTTAGGGAGGTCTAAGCAATGTGGAGCAAGACAGTTTAAATCAAGAAACCAAATGCCCTTGGTATAGTAGACATCTACCCAAAGTATGAAGCATTTCTTGTAATAATTAATTTCATGTTGTTTCCATCTGTGCTGAAACCAGAAGGAACTGGCATCACGTGAGGATGCTTAGACATGTACAATGACTAGCAGGGGTTTCTGGGTCCCAAGGGCATGCCAGTCAGGCAAAATGACTGGAATCTCCACCATCACCACTGCTTGAAGGTAGCCATTGGGGCAACATGCTGCCACAAGGCCATACTGTTTATGAGCATCTCTTGCATTTTCACATTTTACATTAAAACCCACTGTGAAGAGAACTGACAGAGATGTAAACATCTGTACAGCTCCCCAGCCCAAATGCACCACTATTTCACCAAGTAGCAGGGCTGGCCAGTGCCCAAATAAGGGGCCAAATCCAGCCAAATCCAGATGCAAAGCTCTGAAGAAACACCCAAACCTTGTACTTGAAAGCATTCAGGTGAAAAGTTCAATTTTATTTCCAAGATTTTTCCTCTCATTCCCTCTCTGGAAAAGCTCTCAGTCCATTGACAACTATCATTTAATTTACTTCAGTAATTGCACTGATGTTAATTTCCAGCATTTGCAGCTATTTGAGGCCATTATTTGCTGCTGGCTTCACAGATGATTTTTTTTTTCTCCCATTCATCTTATTCTCTAGTTCCACTTCACAGTTACAGTCTGGCAGGATTTGTCTTTTCCAGGCTCTGCCTTCACTCCCATCTTTGTTATTATTTCACACCAACACAAATCCTCCTTTTGCATCTCACAGGCAATGAGATTGTTATGGATAACTGGCTTTGCTGCTCCACAGGCAGAACTTCATTTAACTGCTCTTTTCTCTTTCTATTCTACCATGCAGATGATCTGGTTTTTAAGATTGTCTTTCGAGTCTTCATGACTGTGAATAAGAAAACTCCTGTTTTGAGCTTAGGATTACCATGGTGACAGGTTTATTATCTACCCATTTGGATGCAGGTTATCCTTCTGGCAATTTTTGGCATGTATTAGTCAGTCTGTGCTGATGTTAATTGCTATTTTGTTGGGACATGTTTGGAAGTACAGCATCCATGGGGAAATGAGGAAAATAATGTCCTTTTGTAGCATCAAAAAATGAAGGTTGGGAGCTTTTAATAAATATGTTGCAGAATGATCAAGCCCTGGGGGCAGAAGCTCTGAGCTGAGGTGCTGGCTGTGAGACAAATAAAATGGACAAGATTTTTCTCTGTTCATATCTTAAATATCTACGTCAAATAGAGATGGCGCTGGCATAATTATGGTCTGGACTGTTAGTATTATCATGCAGAAAACACCAGAATTATCCACTTCATATCACCTGATTTTTTTCTTTAGTGGGCCTCCCTTATATTCTGAAGGCAACAGAACAAATGCTTTTAACACCCTCCTATTCAGTCAGCTGGGTTCATTTTACGAGAGGGTTGGTTGATCCACTATACGACTTCACACCAAGGTCATGCCACATGATACCCAGTCTGAGGCCAAAAAAAAGTTATCAGCTCTTCTTTGCAGCTCCTCTGCTGTGGGCCTGCGAAAATGCCTGGCTAATCCTCTGCTGTCTTAACCCTTGCCACATCTTCTGTACCACTCCCATTTCCTGGCTGGTCATACCCACCTCTGGGAAGTGACATGACCACCCAGAAGCTCTGCTGTCATGTTAGTATACATATGACAAGTCTTGATCACAAAGCAACTGTGAAGAATGCAAAGCCTTTGATCTGAGTCCCTCTGCCACAGCAGACCCAAGAGGTGTCATTGTCCCTGTTTGTCTGTGGGGGATGTTACTGCACCAAACAGAATGCTGAACAGCATCTCTTTAGGTTTTTATTGTCAATGTTTTCTT